AAAGCCCGTGAATAGTCACAAACCCATGATTATCACATTAAACCATAATCGCATTCTCCCACATTCAATAGCCACATTTCCTTTAAATTACAGGTTATGGCTTGAGAATATGGTATAAAAAAGCATGAGGACATTTGAATAACCCAACAGAGAATAAATACAACTGTCTCATCCCACAAAAATCTATATTTTCCACATAGGACACTGAGTAACAACTTTACTTCAGTCTTCTTGCTATATTAAAATACCATTCTGTATCTTCATTAGAATAGGGTAGCCCTCAGCAATATAAGTTACACAGTTTATTCATATTTGTTCACATTATTCTTAAATCAATACACAACTCAGGAAACACAAAGCACATTTGTGCCTTACCTGATTTTAGTTTTTTGGATGTGAAGTCGTCTTCTGGCAACTGACCTTTTCTTCTGCGAGAAGTGGCAGTTGCCTGTGGAATCAGGTTAACCTCCCTTCCTCTTCTCGGGGGATTACTTTTTGGGGGATCAGTGGATTTCAAACACTTATCTTGACTTTTTGAAGTGCCACCATTTTCTGGCAAGTCGCCATTATCATGGAGAGCAGTAGAGGTAGGTTCCTCTGACTCAAATCCTACCTTTTTTCTCTTATTCCTCAAAGGCCTCGTTTTTTCCTGGGATGAATTTTTGTCTTCCTTAAGAGTATCTATTTGATCGATGTCCTTGGGCAAACGACGCTTTTCCCTGAGAGAAGTGGAACCGGCTCCTTCGGATTTGAAGGAAACCGTTTTCTTCCTGCTCGCTCCAGCTGCTTCCACAGCCGAGCTCTGCTGCTCTTCACGAGTTTCATTCTTGCCACTGCCCTGCAAACCCATTTCTCCTGGTGGGGACATGGAAGGAACCGCTAATGAAGCGGTATTAGCTTTTGGCCTCAAGTTTGCTTTTGAAAGATCCATTTTTTCTTGGGAAGCAGAGTTTTCCGAAATCACTTTTTCAGCTTCCCCAAAAGTGTTCTTTCTACCACTGTTTGATACCCCTCTTTTTCTCTGAATGGAAGTAGAACTTGTTGCTTCTAACAAGGGGGCAACTTCTTTCCTTCTGCCTTTCTTCAGCTGAGTTTCTTTTACAGGTGAAGCAACAGTTTTTAATTGATTTTCCTTTTGATTTTCTTCAAGAGTCTCTTCTCTTCCATTATCTGCAGGGACACCACGTCTTCCTCGAAGAAAAGTGTAATTAGTTGTGTGTGACAAAGCAGTTTCTTTCCTCCTGCCCCTTCCTAATGGTTTTTCTCTTGCAGGGGACACTATTTCCAAAGGCAGATTTTGTTCTTGATTAGAACTCTCCTCTTTATCATCAGTTTCTGACATGCCATGTTTTCTCTGGAGAGATGATGAACTTTTTGCCTCTGCTGCTGGATCAATCTTTTTTCTTTTGTCCCTTGCTGCTGCATTTGATTTTGCCTGGGAAGTTTTATTTCCCAAAGCCATATTTTGATCTTTCACAGGCATCTTTTCATCATCACCTTCTGCCAAACCACGTTTTTTACTGACAGAAAGAGAACTGGTGGTTTGTGATGCTACAGCAACCTCTCCTCTCCTGCCCCATCTCAGTGGATTCTCTTCTGTTGAGGAGAGAGTAGCTTCCAAAGCTGGATCTTGATCTTTTACAAAACTCTCATCTTTACTATGATCTTCAATTACTGTTTGTTTTTCAGCAAAGGTAGAACAAGCTTTTGGTGGAATGGAATCAACTTGCCTTCTTCTGCTCCTCCTTACTTGTGAGGAAGCATTTTCTGTAGCATTATGCTGACCATCTTTATCTGCTACTCCTTTTTCATCTGCAGGTAAACTCTTTCCTCCAAGTGCTTTGGATTTAGTTTCAAGTTCAAAATTAACTTTCCTCCCTCTGCCTCTTCTAAGTGTAGTTCTACTGATTTGTGTTTGACTCTGTTGCACGATTTCAGCTTGTTGAGATTTAAGCACTTCCTGCTCATTTTTTGCCTGCTTTTGGCAGGTATGACCAACGCTGTCACTGTCTGCAGCAGGTGTTGGAGCTGCCTCGTTCATGTCCTTGACACAGGGAGAGCCCAAACACTCCTGGACAGAGAGTTCCTCCAGTTCTGCTTTGAACTTTGGTTTGGGCACAGCTGCTTTTATACCGTTTGCATCTTTGACAGATTCATCAGCCTTTACCTCCAGAGAGCCCTTTTTGACTCTCCTACTTCTAGTTCTGCTCGTTTCCAAAGGCAGAACAGCAGCAGGCTCTTTCTTTGTCTCTCCAGAAGGCGACTCTGACTTCAATCTTTGAGATACCTCTGCTGCATTTCCCTGAACATTTTCAGCTGCTTCTTCCTCGGACACCTTCCTCTCATTTTTCATGTCCAGCTGTGTTTCAGTAACAGTTTCCACAAAAGCTCCCTTGGTTTCTTGAACATTTTGAATATTTTCTGGTGCCAAACTGCAATTTTCTGTTCTTGTTTCCATCTGCTTTCTAGCATTTCTTAAGTATTTTCCTCTTTTTTCTACCACCTTTGTTTCTTGTTTACTTCTGACTTCAGGTTCTTCTACTGGGGCAGCCTCGCTGATATTTTTGTCCAAAACCTGTTCATCTCCTTGTGTTCTCTTTGCTGAAGGTTCTTTACGAAGCTTCCTTGCTGTCCCACGAGGTTCCCCTGAAGGCGATCGATTGGCTTGGTCATTTTTTCTTCTTCTTCCTCTTCTGGGTGAAATTACTGGTTCTGTGGTTTCTACTTTTTTCTCTGCTCTAGACTTGTTCCTTGGTGGCAGAAGTAGAGTTTCACTGGTTTCTATACTACCTTCATCAGATTTCTTTTCAGTTATTTTCAATTCTGTTTGTGGGAGTTGGCAGTTTGCATTCTGAACATGACCAGACATACTTTCTGTCTTTATGCCCTGACCATCTTCAGTTATTAATACATTAGTGACATCATACTTCTGCAAAGTCTGTTTTATATTTGCAGATTCTTTTTGCAGCAATGAAGCTTTGCCACGACACTCAAGACTCTCCCTTTGATGTTTTACCTCCTTGGGTTCATTCCTTTTACCTCTTCTAGGTCTTTGAGCAGCTCCAGATAATTCCACAGCTTCAGTTTTTTCATGACTGGGATGTTCTAAAGAAGTTTTTTCCTGCACACAATTTGTTCTCTTTCCTCTTCCCAGACTTTTAGCTACAGAAGCTGAAACACTAACCACCTCCATCCCCTCTTGGATGCTCTTTTTCTCCAGAGCTTTCAATTCTTTTACGTTTGCATCTTCCTCTAGGTTCTTTCCATGCTGGTTTACTGGAACAGGATGCACTGTCTTCCTTGGCCTGCCCCTTGCTTTTCTCTTGATACACTGGTCTTTGCTGGATGATACCGTCTCTTGGGACTTTTTGCCTTCTGAAATATTTCCTTTGTCTACTAAAACAGTTTTTCACCCCATTCCAAGTGTTTATATGGAAAAGAACAAAAAGAAAAAAGTTAAACATTTATTTGCCTGACCAAAGTAATTTTTTTGACTGCTGAAAGTACAGAAAGTACTCTACAAGGATGTCTGGTTTATTTGGTAGGTAGCATTCACAATTTCAAGCTGTATTCTTGAAATTTTAAAACACACATTTAAGCTTTGTAGTATGGTTTATTATTCCTCTGATTAGAAATCAAAGCCTTTGTACTTACCATATTCCTGACTGGAACTAGTACAAGCAGGTAGAGTATCCTCTTGCTCAAGATCCGTTTTTACTGAACTGACCTAAAAAACAAACAATAATCAATACATTTACCCAAATAAGAAGTGTAATAGTTGAAAAATTTCACATCAAAAACTTTTCTGAAAAATGCAATTAACTTATTTTGATAACTGTCACATAATGTATTTAATATTAGCACACATTCATCAATCACATATTTCTTGTGAAAGGCAACACTGTATAAAGTCAAAAAAGCACTCAGTAAATTAGTTTAAAAGTGCCCAAATGAGATCTCAAAGCAATTTTGGATTTTGTTGATAAATAGTTTGAGTATTTTAGAGTTTGATTGTAGCTGTACAGAAATACTCAACATATATTTACGGATCTTAGAATGAACATAAGAAAATCAATGCTGATAGAATTCACAAAAGATAAGAGTGACGAAGCTGTGACTAATAAGGTCAGGACAGCCATGCAGAGACACCCCAGTTACTGTTTAGGTAGGGTTCATCCAAAGGAAATACATACTCATACAGGCAACTGAATGCAGATAGAGCCATCTCTAAAGGGGAACTGAGCATTCAAGAGGCAAAGAACAAACGTAAGGGCATAGTGAGCAACCAGCTGACCACAAAAATAATACAGTCTTGGATGTTTCAGGCAGAAAAGAGCTTCAGAGTTCATAGAGAAGCTGTGCAGGGGGTGTACAAAACACAAATCCAAGCATGTATGCTTATGAAAAGGACAGCAAAGAAAGAAGCTGATTATCGTTTGCAAGCCTTAAAGGATGCTTTAAACATAATGGAAATAAATAACCCGAAAAAGCAGCACTCACTCATTCAAATTTCCAATAACCCATGTCTTTCAGCAGCAGGACATTTCCCTCTAAAAAGCCATCAGGGAAGAGGCTGCCATTATTTTGAAGCCTTCAAAGCAACACCACATGCTTTCCTAGAAGGCAGTTTTTCTCCAGAGGCTGAAGCAATAATATTTTTTAAGGAAATGTTCTGCTATTACATACAAGATGTCATTGTATGTGACTTAAGAGCTAGTTTCACAGGTTTGAATTCAAGTCAGTTGCTTCCAAAAGCTAAAGAATTTTACCTTGATTTCCTCTGGTACATCAAACATCTCCTTAACTCCAACAAAGTCCACTTCAAGATCTGAACATTTTTGCCTGGGTTCTGCCATGAGCTTTTTCAGACCCACGAAATCTTCAACTGGCTCATACTTCTCTTTTGGAGTCCTCATTAACCTACTAATTCCGAAAATATCTTCTATCGGTTCAGCCTTTTCCTTTGGTGTCTTGAAAATACGACTGACCCCAATCATATCTTCCACTGGTTGATATTTGGGTTTTTGTGTTTGCTTGATTACTGTAGTACCTGACACATCTGTTTCTGCTTCTACTGGAGTTTTCAGCAATCTTTCAAAGCCAATTTCATCCTTTGTAACCTCTGACTTCTGCCTTGGGGTCCTCATGAGCCGCTTGATTCCTGAAAGGGCCTCAACTGGCTCTGGCTTCTGCTTTGGGGTCCTCATGAGCCGCTTGATTCCTGAAAGGGCCTCAACTGGCTCTGGCTTCTGCTTTGGGGTCCTCATGAGCCGCTTGATTCCTGAAAGGGCCTCAACTGGCTCTGGCTTCTGCTTTGGGGTCCTCATGAACCGCTTGATTCCTGAAAGGGCCTCAACTGGTTCCAGTTTCTGCTTTGGGGTCCTCATGAGCCGCTTGACACCTGACAGCACCTCAGCTGGCTTTGATTTTTGTTTTGGAGTTCTCATGATTCGCTTGACACCTGACAAGACATCAACTGGCTCCAACTTTTGCTTTGGGGTTCTCATGAGCTGCTTGATTCCTGATAGGACCTCAACTGGCTCCAGCTTCTGTTTTGGAGTCCTGCCTTTCAATCCTAATTTTACCCGAGATGTACATTTTTCTGGATTTATCAGCAAACTGTCCATGCCAACATTTGATTCCTGCACGGCTTCCCGATTTTTGGGAGTATTTGTGGAAATTTCGTCAACCATAGATTTTGGAAAATCCTCATCTCTCAGAAGATGACAGATACCTGGTTTCTGTTCTGAAGCATCTGAACTACTTAAGGGTGACACTATCATTTCTCCTGTTTAAAAAAAAATAATTTGGAAAAAAAATTAAGCACCAAATCCAAACATTCTGATTGCTGAGTAACTAAGAATAGTTTCTAACTGTGTGAGCTTTATACACAATTTCACAGAATTACAGAATGATTAAGCTTGGAGCACATGGCACCGGACCACGTTCAGGAGAGTCGGAAGCACATCCAGAGAAGGAGACTTCACAACTTTTCTAGGCAACCTGCTCCAGTGCTCTGTCACTCTCACAGTCAAGAAGATTTTCCTCAGATTGAGGCAGAACTTCCTGTGTTTCAGTTTGTGGTCGTTGCCTCTTGTTCTATCATTGGCCACTGAAAATGCACCGAAATGCTCATTTTGCTTTTTAAAAGCCTAGAAAACATATATTTGAATCCTCCCACTTCACCCCAGTGTTTCATTACTCAGTCACTTTTGCTAAATTTTGAGGAAAACAAAAATCAAATTTAAGGTCTGAGTTCTGCAGGGACACAATGACTGCCCTCCGCGGTCACAAAGATGCAAAAAGATGCAAGACAAAAGTTAATATAACTTTTCCAAACCTGATGATTTTTCCCTTTTAATAGACTCTTTCTGTAAGATTACACAGCATCTTCTTCCCCCTCATGAGCCTTTATCACTGGATTTAAGATGCGTCCATATGCAACTGATTAAAAAACTACCACTCTTCAGCACAATATTTGCCATAGTTTAAACTTGCCTAAAATAACAATACATACCCCACCTTTTTGATAAGTCCATACAGAATCAAGTGAATAAGAAAATAACACCTACCCAGAAATGTCTTTTAATCCACAATAAAGCAATTCATTTCATGGATTGCCGGATGCATCATCACTCGATATCAAGTCTGCCTAGGCTGACTACTCACAGACTCAAGCAGCAACCTTCCCACTGCACTGCTACCCCTAAATACACCTAAACATTTGCTCCCTTTCCACATAAGGACCATACCAGATTCTTCAGGAGTTTGCAGCTCGGAAACTTCCACTGATGAACAAGTTGGTGTAAAATCAATCTTCTGAACAGGGGACAAAGATGCTCTTTTTCTGCTTTTATTTTCTGGAGTCTGAAACATCTCAGCCATCCCTACAAATTATATTCAGAGAAGCAAGTGTATGTTTTGAGAACTACATAGTTGGTATAGCCAATAATACATTTTAAAAGGACACAGTTTACCTGTGAAGCTTTCGTCCATATCCATGCTTTGTTTCATGATAGGATTTTTTATCACTTTAGGGACTTGTCCAGTCATTCTGACTGTTGTGGTATAAGCCCTGCCTACAACTATGGTGGCAGGAGACTCTGCATGACCTGTACTAAAATGACCTTTTACTTTTCTTTCTGGAGTCTGCCAAGAGAGAAAACAAAAACATTGATGAGCTTTAAAAAAAAAGGAACATTACCCTTTCAACCTGCAGTCCAGTTTGGACTGCAGAAAAGGGGCAAATACCACACACATTCACTTTTACCTAAAGACAGCCTTTGAGATGACTCAAAGATTACTAAAAATTCTTTTTAATTACACTAGTGGTTATCTATTTAACAGACTCTATAACCACATAACAGAGCAGCCTCCCACCCACATACCTAATCCTTTATATACTGGACTTGCACTAAGAGTAAATAGGTCTCAAGTTTCTTGCACACTGGGATAAAACCATCCATACTCAATTATTATGATGTTAAGAACTCAAACATTCAAAACAGTTTTGTAGTTAATTTAAAACCCAAAATACCTTTGGCAACTGAGTTATCTTCTTTGCTGATCTTCCTTTTAGGACAGACTTTTTGATGGCTTTTGCTTGTGGCCTTGCAACACCTAACTTTACCACCTCTGCCCAGGATTTTGCAACTAGAAAGCAGAACAGAAATAACTTCAATTTTCCACTGTGCAAATCAAGTTCACAATTATTTCTTTATGCTTCCAAGTGATTTCTGCAGAATGTGAGTTCAGAATGTGGTCAATATATTATTTGCCAACATCTGTACCAAACTGCTGCATGAAAACACCTTCAACTGGGATGCCTAAGGTCAGTCGAAGTCTAGTAAGTGTTCCGACATCCAGTAAAACTGTTCCACAACCAAAACCACCCTTGTATAACACCAAATACTTTACAGATCATAGAAGAGAGAACTGACTCAATTTTCTCCTCAGTCTTTTTATTAAGGAAGTATTTTCTCTGAAAGAAATTTGTCACCAGACTGAAACTCTCACTCATTATTATATCTAAAATTTCCCTTGGTGGCCATGAGATTTAACATTAGAGAGTCAGTTTCCAAGTGAATTGTATCTAGCTTTCCTTTCATCAGCTTTCCAAGGAACTTGACATTCAGGAAACTACTTATATTGCTTACAGCATTTACAGACTTTCCAAAATTCTTCTATCACCTTCTGCAAATAATCTCCTTCTGTCAGTTCCTGAAGCAAGGTTATGTTTATCACCACATCATTTCGTGCTCTCAGAGTAATCGGGGAATTAATTACAGCTACATAATAGATGAAGCTGTAAGTTGGTGCCCATTTCCTCAGTAAATAAGGTAGAAGGCCAGGGTCAAAGCAAAGAGTTATTTTTATATTTAGAGAAAGAAGAGTGAATGCTGTTACTGAAGAGTTGCAGTTCTTTATTCTCTTGCCAGAGCTACTAAGCAGATTGGTGCAAGTCTTCAAAACCAAGTTTTTAAGTGTTTTCATTCTAAGGGTGCTCATTTTATACAGAAAATTGCCAAGCACCCTGAAAACTATCTGCATAGGCAGCAGAAACATGCCAAGGGTTGTGTTTGGTATACAACCTAGACATAAAAAAGGCAAAATATTTAGCAACTGTGGGGTTATTTCCAATTTAGAGAGGAAGCTAAGGCACAAACATTAAAAACCACTTTCGCAGTGCAGAGAAGTGGTATGACATTAATATTTGTGAAGTACTCTATAATAATGAATGGAATAAAGCAACTGAAAAACCTTAACTGTTGAGTGGAAAAAATAAGAGCTGATCATAAAACTATCAAAATGCTTTCTCACAAAGACATTCATTACTGTAAACAACCTTGCAAAGTGAACCTTAATTCTAGCACTCCTCAGCTTCCGAGTTTTAGGATACCTTTTTTTTTGTTCTAAATATTCCTCTTTGCACTTTATAATATGAGAGAACATAAGACTTTGCAATTGCCAGCTGCTTTCAAGAAGGCCAAAAACTGACATGAGATAAAACATTTATATTTGGTGGTCTTTGTACAATGACTTTTAAGGCCTACTTCAGTTTTGCTATTGTTTCTTAGAGCATTAAAATCCATATTAAAAATTAAATCTTTAAACAAACCTAGCAAATTGGCACTGGAGGCACCGCTTCTTCTTTTTGCCTTAATAACTGCTACAGCCCCACTTCTCCTCTTCATGGGAGTGTTCTTCAGAGCAAGCTGTGCACTCCTTGTTAATTTGTTAGTTGCAACTATTAAAGTTTTATCATCTTGGTTAATGTGAGAAGAATTGGGTGTTTTTACCCGAGCATTATTTTTCTCCTGGGTATTCACATCTTTTGCAGCAGCATCCTGCTCCTCTGCAACAGGCGATGGTGTCGGGATGTGAGAAACAGAGAAACGGCCTGTGGTGTAGGGTTGTGGAGAGCTTAAATCTAATGTAGGGGTTGATTTTCCAGAAACAGGAGATGAGGCAGTCGGTGACCTCCGGGTCAGTAAGCGTTTTGGTGAAACTTTTTCTTTTGGCAAATGCTCAGGAAGTTCCTAGTAAGGAAAGAAAAACACACATATTTTAATCAATACAAACAAAAATGTTAGTGCACAAAACAAAACTACAAATGCTTATCTAAAACTTTGAAAGGAAAAGTACTATAGAAGGTCATCAAAAAATTTTAAAAATCTTATTCTCTAAAAAGAAAACCTTAAAACATCCTAAATTTCAAAATATCAACTACCAAAATAACTGAATTTGCATGTTTAACTGAATTATTTAACTTAATTCAAAACTGTCGAATTCTATCAAATACACAACACACATTTTAAATTCATAGCAAGTATTTCATATTTTTAACATGATAACAGCCTGCCAACAATCTCCCATTCTCGATTGTGGCTGGTTTGGGTTATTTATGCTAAATTGGAGCCCGTAGATACTGCTGTTATACACAAACACACAGAAATACCCTCATTTAGACACTTTCATGAGTAAAAGCATGTGATTCAAATAAAAACCCACCTCCCCTTTATATTTAGATATAAAGAGTAAGCTGAGCCATCTACAACTTTAATATGCATTAAAATGCCCCTTCTCCCAAGAAAAAGATTTACAGTTCATTTGGAATTCATTTTTGTAAGTCCTTGAATTTACAGATTTTGCTCATGTTATTCTCTGGCAGCTCTTGGCCTGAGCTTAAGGTTTACCTGGACTGCAAGACGCTTTGGTCCCTGAGCCTTCTTCAGAACGGCACGCGGCGAGTTCCCAAAGGGCAAGCTCAGCCTTGCAGGAGTTGCACCCCTTTTCAGGGGCGAATTGGGAGGTAAACTTTTATCGAAGAGCTCTGGGCTCAGATGACCACCAAAAGACACTCTCTTTCTTTTTCCTAAAGACTGATGTAACGAATCACCACTTTTCCTCTTCTGAGATGTTCCTCTTGCATTACCTAAAAATAGCAGGATTGAAAGCATTGCTGTATGTCTGAGAATTGGGAAAGTCACTATTTTAACCAGCACCAAAAGCAGTGGACTACTCTGGTGGTTTAAAGTTGGAAACTTATCACATGATAATTCATTTTAAAGAGAAACAGATTCAGCTTTATAACTTTAATTTATAAAAGTTGTGTATTTTTATGGTTGAATGTTCTTGTTAAAAAGGCATAGGAGAATCTCAAGTGAGATTAAAACTATTTACCTGACTGCTCCTCCTTGGCCAACAGGCTAGAAACGCTCGTTTCTGACATGACTTCATCTTCTTTAAGCACGGTAGAACTTCCAGACCTCCTTTTCGAAGGCAAGCTACGAGGTCTTGTAACACCAGCACCTTCCAAATCTGGTTTCTGTTGATGGGCCTTTGTGCCCAGCTCCTCTTTAGTTCCACTATCTTTCCCATCTATAGTCTTATCTTGATGATCTTGAACTGCTTCTGTCTCCAGTGCTTTTTTGGATAGCAGTTCAGAGCTCCTTGGCCTACCCCTTTTTCTCCCACGGCTGCATTTCTGACTAGCAGGAGATGCAAGTTCTGCTGTTAATTCTTCTGAGTGCAGCCTCTCTGAACAGACACTATCATGTGACAGTGCTTTACTCTGCCTGATATTTCTTCTGGGACTCTTTGAATTAGGTAACGAGGCAGGAGTTTCAGAATCTTTCGAGTTAGCAACATTTGCCTGACCACAATTTTCTTTCAGCACCTCCTCTTTTACGGATTTTCCAGGTGTATGTCGTTGACTACTACGTCTTTGTTTTAAATGTGTATTTTCAGCCACAGGCAGTTCTTCGGGGCTCTCCTTTCCGCACAGAACATCTTCCTCTGGAGGTTCAACTGAAATTTCTGAAAAACCCTTACATTCCAACAATGCATCATGCTGATTTGTTGGAGCATCAGCATTTGCAGAACCCATTCCACTAATTTCCTTGATGGATGATACGGAACGAGACCGAGAACTCCTCCTCTTGGACCTTGGCGCAGACAAGATACATTCTTCTATTTCAGAAACACTAGTTTTGCTCGCTGCATTTGTTACAGCACTTGTTTGTGCTAGTTGCTCTGTTTTCCTTGCAGAGGAGCATATGCTATCGGCATAACCCAAGCATAGTATGGAGCATGGCTTAGGTGAACATGCTGCCTTTCCATCATTATCTTCATTTAGTTTGGCTGCAACTTCAGTACCTTCAGATTTGCCCGCTGTATTTTGCTCTTTGTAGTCTTGCAAGAGACTTTTTCTACAGGTGTTTCTTGACATCTCGTTTGAAGCAGACATTTGGGGACTTCTGGTAAAGCTCCTCTTGGTTGCACTTCCTGTAGCTGCAACCAGATTAAATTCTGAACCAATCACTTCTTGTTTAACTTCACACACTTCCGTTGTTTCTTTTTCTGTTTCTTCACTCAGGCTTCCGAGACCACGAGCATAACCTGAGGATGAAACCTGAGCACTGGATTGGGGCAACACACACTTGCCATCTTTTCTGGCTTGTTGAGATATGGTTCCTTCTTGCAGGGCTTTTTTCATTTCAATCTCACGTTTCAGTGTTTCATAGAGTTTACTAAAAGGAGACATTTCCTTTTTATTAGGTCGGTTTATTTTGTATAAAGACTTGGTTGTTAGCTTGACAGCTGAAGTTTTGGGAGTATTTTCTTCCGTACTTTGTTTATTTTCATGAGCATTTTGTTCTTCACACTTGGTATTATCTACAAAGTAAGCAAAACAAAAGAAAAAAAAATACAATACAAATGTATATTTACTTAAAAACATAAGGCTAAGTTCCTTAAATACAGGTGAAAAGACCTTCCCTTCATCTCCCAAGGTAGCAGAGTAAGAAAAATCCCTCTGCCTGCAATAACAACTTTGTCATAAGTGCATTAGTACTGAAAAATTTATCATAAAAGTTCTGATCTTCAGTTCGGCCCATATTCTGATAAAGCACTTGTTATTCCATGCTGTTCATCTTTAAAATCACATAGATTGGGTGCCCCAACACAGATATACATGCATGAAGCAAAATAAATCACTGCAATTCTACCTTAGCACTACAACCAGTTCTCTGTAAGGCTTGAACAAATCTTACATATCCCATGAAAGAAGCTGACTGAAGAAAGGAAGGATGAAAAGGTGATGAACTGCCATTTAACCAGATTTTGATTTATAGTTACATTTAGTAGCTCTGTGAGAACAAGCTGTTTTGCTTTTTACAGAGTATATGAAGTAGCTATTGTAAATTATGTTTTCAATCAGCAAAATTAGCCCTTCCTGTATATATATATATGTGTGTACATACATATATATTCGATGTTTTCCTTTTTAACAGCACATCTGAGATAATGTAAGATTGGCTCAACAGTAAAGTGGACCTGATCTAGGTGAGGCAGAACACAAGCTAAATTTTAATCCCAGGGATGAATTTTACTGTCAATTACACTTGTTTCTGTTGGGATGCAAAATTAAGTTTTACATATCAGCTTTGATGGCTTTGTTTTGCAGTTGCAAAGCCAGCACACAGAGTTCCTTTTTTAGCTGAAACCTTCATAAACTGTATCTGCTAACTCATTCAAAATCACATACACAGATTTTGCCAATTCCATTCTTACTCTTACCACCCATGTGTTGGTTTCAATACTTGCTTATGCTGGCAAAGCTTATCTTTGCTAAATCTTAACACCTATGTACAATAAAGGTGAATTATACTCAGACTGAAAGGTCTTAAAATACATTCCTTCTACTCCACGTAACCTTCTTCCTCTTGATGCTAAAAAGTAAGGGAAAGACGGAAAAAAAAGACAAAAAAAATAGGTACCAACCGGAATCATGAAGACTTCTAGATCCTGAAGTTTGTTTGTGTAATAATTCCCCTTCTGCCACCTGCTGTTTTAAGAACCTGTAATTTTGTAAAATATTACAGTAGAGCAACAAGTATTTTCTAGGCAGTTTAACTTTCTACCATACACCAGGAAACACTAATGTCATAGATGCATAAAGAGTGCTTATAAAATAATATTTAAAACAGCCAAATGGCAGAATATTTCATAGTTTAAGAAAACAGACTTCAGTGTATTCAATGCTCTATATAACAGCATAATTTTTATGAGTGAAATTCTGAGCTCTAAAAGGAAGGATTCACTTTAACAGGCCTCAAGGAAGAGGCCTGTTCTGTTTTGTTTCAACTTTTTGTTCAAACAGAAAAATTGTAATACACCTAAGTATTAATGGCCACAATATTTGTTAACTAAAAATACTCCCTTTAAGAAGAAAACTTTGCTGGGAACAAAAGGGTGAAAAAAAAAAGACATTAATAAAAATAACTTAAGAATTTGAGTTGGTTTGGCTAGTCTATATTTGAAAAAAATGGTTTCTAACAATATGAAAAAGACAAAACGGCAAATAGGTACCATATCACTACTAACACCAATATACTTGCAATAAATAAGCTTGTAGCCATAGAATTACCTGCAATGTTTCCTTTTTTGGAGATCTGGAACGCCTCTTTCTTGGAGTTGACTGGGGTGGGTATTCAAACCTGAAAGAAATATTCAAAAAGACAACCATTTTTAATCAAATAGTTGATGATTAAGTTGTTTTTATTATGTTAAATGACACAGCAATACTTGCCATCTTCCAGATGTGTATATATATACACATATATATATAGCTTTTAAAAGCTGAAACTACCTCAAAATACTTCTAACTTTTCCCCTGAAAATAAGTGCCCTTGAAACAAAAATAAACTCTCTAGACAGTTCTATCTTTATTGCTTCAGCTTAATGTAATATAAAGGCGATTAAAAAAAAGTCTTTAAGCAATCCTGCCATCTGAAGAAGGATAAAGTTAGATAAAGAAATATGAAATAAACTTCTGCTTCTGAAGATGGCAAAGAGCCGTTTTAATTTTTCCCATTTATCTGCAGCCACCGTGTGTGCCTTCGCCCAGCACTGAGAGCCTGTGTCCCCAGAGCTCTGCAGGAGGAAGGCTGCAGCAGTGGCACTCACCTGAAAGAACGATCGATAATAGTCAGCACATCTCCGTGCTTCAGAGGTACAGGCTGCTGGAAACAACCTCCGTTCAGCTGCGTGGGATTTACTGCACTTAAGTTGGTCAGGACTGCCTGGAAATGGAACAAACGTCTGAGTAGCTTGAAGAGATGCAATGGTGCAAGGTAAGGGCTATTCAATGTGCACCTCTTACCTCCTTGTTTTCGTTGACTTCAATCTTGCAGTGCTCTTTAGAGACCTGGGGCAACTGAATGCGAATGTCACATTCTGTTTTCCTATGGGTGAAAATACAATTTCAGTTTCAATGCATACAAAAGACAGAAACATCTGGTTGCTATATAATTAGATCATTTTCCAATTTTTAAGTGAATAATTTGTATAGCTGCATGACAGTGTCAGATTTGATAGCACAGACCAAAACCACAGCATATTTTTTTACTCCCACTCTCCAGAAGTGAAGTTATAGGTCTAAGGCAGAGCCCACTCTGCAGATTTACAGCTCTGTCCATAATGTAGCAATTGCAACATTATTGCCCTCTCTAACTCATCAGTATCACCAATAAATACAAGTATTATCTCTCAAACTTCACCATGGGTTATTGATCACTATCAGAGACAAAATATTACATAGCTGGACCTTTGGTCTGGGCAGAGTAGCCACTTTCTTTCTCAAAAGTTGTGCACATCTGTTCTTGGGCATATGAGCTTTCTTTGTACTTTTTTAAATTAATAAACTCTTATTCTTTTGGCACATTGTGGATCCTAGGCAGCAAACGTACCACCTCTTGTACCAGATGGACTCTTCATACAAATATCAGACACCTCTTTGAGGTAACTGGCAGAAATTAATGTTTGTATAATTAAGTATCAACTATCTGGGCAGCTCTGCAGAAGCCAAACAACATCACTGGCACTGAAGCATCACTGAAGACTTCACAAGCAATCTGATTCACAACTGGATAATTACCTAATTATCTAAACAATGTATCAATGAGTAAAGTGCTGAAGAAAACACTTTATTTGAAGCACTATTTATACTAAGGTCACTTAGTAATATACCTGGAGATGTATGAAGTCTTGACTATCGTTTTTTTTGCTATAAAATAGCTGTATCCATTCAAAACAAACAAAACTAACTTAGTTTCCTTCGCTGCCATTCAATTGTGCAAGTCAAAACGAATTTCAAGTTCAGATGAGGAGGAGTATGTTTGATTTTAAAGATGTTATCAGTTCTAAAGACTGAGGTCCTGGAGAGCCAGAGAGAGCAGGAGAAGAGCAGGCTCGTGTGATGAAGGTGGTACAAGGCATGTACTTCTCTCTGTACTGGTGAGAGCTCCAACATCTTTAATTCTGCCTTGAACATCTCATTTAGAAACCACCCATATTATTGATTGTTTGACAACTGTAACTTGCTCTCAGTCTCCTGGTTTTGCGATCGTTTTTATACAATGACTTTTAGCACCACTAATACTATCCCAGTGTACACAAGCACCCAAATGCTTCTCACCTTCCAAATAAACAGGAACTCGCAGTGAGCGGGAAGTGGATCCCGTCAGCCCCGTTCCGCTTGATCACAATGACTTTCCCAAAGAGCGGCATCTTGGCTTTAACCTACGTGGCGAATCTTACCTATAAAAGGACATCTAAATTACTCTTCCAATATGCAGAAACAAAGTCATATAAGTCACATTTACTCCCGTAAATATTTTGCTTCGACAGACAACTCCTGCAAGGTGGAGGATGCAGCTTGGTGCCTTGTGCATGGCTAAAGCAGGGAATGAAGCTTGCCCTGAGCACCGTGTGTTTGGAGACAGCAGGGGCGGCCGCCGTGGGGCTGTGCAGACTGACTTAGGGCACTTTGGCCTGTAAAACAACCGGTTTCTCTCTAGGAAGTTGCTAGAGGAGTAAACAAACCCACCTGGGCGTCTTCACGAAGGTTAAAGCAGAAGCATTAAAAGCCAGTTGCTATAAAGTGAATAAAAGCCGAATGCACCGAAGCGCTGCCGGCCTCGTGGCCAAGTGTCAGGCAGGCAGAGGGTGGCGGTGCCTGTAGGAAACACCCTGAAGGCAGCCGAAACCCCCAGCACCACCGCCGTGTACCATCAGCCGGCGTCAATGTGAAAGAGCCCGGCTGCAAGGCGGCCTAACCGGTCACCACACGTTACCCAACGCCACGGTACCCAACGCAAATCAGTGGTGTTAAGAGATACACGAAACTGAAATAGCTGATTTTTCCTTCCGCTGAGCACGCAAACACCTCATATCTTAAGCTTAAGTCACGCTTAGCTCCGAAAACTTATCTTTAAGTTTTTAAAGACCCCCCTCAAGCGCGAGGCAGCGGCCTCCGTGACCGGCCGTGCCGGGAGG